GTTGTGAAAGCAAAACTACTTTGTTTGACCTTCCAAAAGAGGACGATATATGCTTTGTCATGCCTAGAGTTGATCCGTGCTGGTCGCTGAGGAAATACATTAACTTCACACTGTGGATCGCCGGATCAGCTTTCACCATGGACGAAGCGGAGTCCAGACCGGGGTCGTCACATGTGGTTGCCGCAAGCATCAAAATATGGTAAGGGACATAACATTTCCGTCACACGCTTGAGGAATTCGGCCAATCACAACGCACTGGATAGCTGGCCAATCACAGCACACCTCGCTTTTCGTTTCAGAAAGGTGGGGCATAGAGGAGAAACAATAATGTACAGTATGTGGAAAATAATGTGTTTTTTGAACTTTAAACCGCATAAACACATTTCATTACACCAAATACACAAAATAATGTTCTTTTTAGCAACATCATATGACCCCTTTAAGAAATTAACACTTCTATTTAAGGGTGTAATGGTACATGTATTCGTACCGAACATTTTCGGTATGGGTCTTTCGGGTTCAGTACGCATGTGAACCGAACAAATACAGCATTGTTTTAACGACTGCACGAGTGGAACTTCATTGGAAACTTCCAGTTTTATATATTGTTACTTTTGATGAGAATCCATTTTTCCAGCGCCATTTTTGACGCTCTTTGATGTGGCGTGACAGATCGCTGTATAAATGCCTCAGTTGAAACAGCAGCGAGGAGCGCAAGTGAGCACGATCATCCCTTCCTCTTTACTACTAGTTTTAATGCAAAATAAACATGAATGAACTCATGCTTCAAGTAATCGCTCAATCAGTGTTTCAACCACAGTAAGACTTCAAAACAAAATGTCATGTAGCATTTCATTTACCTCAGGCAAGTAAACAGTGTTCACAGCTTGTTAGTGCACCAGAGAAATTAAGTCTAGAGAAGAGCATTGCGCGAAATATTAGACTATATACTCATTATATTTTACTTTACCTGTTAGTGATGTCTTAATTAATTAATGTATGTTTAAATAAATCTGTTATGAAACAAGTTATGACAGCCATTGTGAAAATGCATATATTTAAACAACAAATAGAAATGTTATAAATTAGTTAATAAGTTAATTTAAAAACTGCATTATATGCAATTTACATGTTTGCATACATTTTTTTTAAGTTGAGTGTTGATTATTATATTTAGAAATAAATAGTAGCTTAATTGAATTTAAGTTTGGGCTCTGTTGTTAATTGTAACCTTATAGTAATGTAAAAGGGCTCCCTATAGTTTAGAGGATAAACTGAGGTAGATTTTTATAATTATAATTAAAATTAAAGAAGATATTTTTTAAACAAATAATAAAAAAAAAAATTTGTTTAGTAAACCACTGTTTAATTACAAAAAAAATTCAAATTTATGTTTAGTTTTTTCCCCTTGCTGTACTGAAACCATACTAAACCTTGACATCCAAACTGAGGTACATACCAAACTGCCATGTTTCTTTTTAACACCCCTATTTCTATTATGCAATGATGCACTAAAATGATCAGAATTGACAGTAAATACCTTTTTAATATTTCAAAACATTTATATTTCAAATAAATGCTATTCATCAAAGAATCTTGAAAATACTAGTATCACAATTTCCACAAAAATATTAAGCAGCTCAACTTTTTTTCAACATTGATAATAATAGAAATATGGAACAATAGAAATAATTGTTTCTTGAAAAAATCGGCATTTTAGAATGATTTCTGAGGGATCATGTGACACTGAAGACTGGAGTAATGATGCTGAAAATTCAGCTTTGACATCACAGGAATAAATTACATTTTAAAATATAATAAAATCAAAAAAAGCTATTTTACTTTGAAATAATATTTCACAATATTACTGTTTTACTGTTGGAGTTTTGATCAAATAAATGCAGCCTTGATGAGACTTTTTTCAAAAACATTAAAAAATCTTATAGATGCCAAATTTGTGAACACATACAGTATGGAAGTTAAGAATATTTTTTCTTAGAATTATTTTGCTTTAATTGAAGGTTATTTTGGTGAACATCTAGAAAGATGGTAAAAAGTAAAGACTTTTTCGATGACCTATTTTGCTAATATTTACCAAGGGTGCTAATATTAGTGGAGTACACTGTATATCTAATGGCTATAAAGACAAATCCTATCTAAACTCTGTTTCTGTTTCCATGAGTGGAAAGGTCAGCTGCATAAAGGAAAAAATATCCCTTTCATTTTTCCCTCCCTTTCATTTTTGGGTTCTTTATGTTGGTATCCACAGGAAAAAACTATTTGGATTTTCTCTCAAACTCTGTTTTGGGTGCAGCATGCTGTGCACAGCTTCAACCTGTAAACCTAATGAGCCAGTTCAGCGTGCGTCATCACTACACGTCAGGAGGCATAAAGTTATACATGTGTTCACTCAGCTAAAGCCTGACTCAGGATCAGTGAATAAAAAATGATGCTATCCACAGTACAATAACACTACCTAGGCGGTGCTTCACTGGGGGCAGGTTTACAGGAAGATGACAGACCTCTTTTCTCTGTGTTTTTCTCTTTTGTGTCTGACTGACTGGAACAGGAAGTGGGGGCTGCACTC